CAATAAGAGCAGTTTGCTTTTATTTGCATATTTCTTTTGAAGAATATCTGAAAACCATGGTTGAGAGGTGACTGTGCAGGATGGAAACAGTAATAAAAAGCTCTTAAAAATTGGTAACTATTGCTGGGACCGGCTCAGTGGATAGAGCGTCTGCCTGCGGACTGGAAGGTCCTGGGTTCGATTCCAGTCATGTACGTTGGTTGCGGGCACATCCCCAGTGGGGAGTGTGCAAGAGGCAGCTGGTCGATGTTTCTCTCTCATCGACGTTTCTAACTCTCTGTCCCTCTCAATTCCTCTCTGTGTAAAATCAATAAAATATATTAAAAAACAAAACAAAACAAAAAACTGGTAACTATTATTTCCCGCTTTTCAACGTCTCTGAGCAAAGCTGTAGAGGCTGCTCCATAAACCATCCTGAGGAGTCAGTTGTTTGATCTAGGGTCAGTGATAATGATGGGGTCGAGGCCTACCCCTCCTCCAACACCCCCCCTGCCCCCCCGTACCATCCATTCCCACGTGTATTCCATGATAACTATAATTGAGTTACCACAGGTGCAGCTGCTCTGATCCATTCAAAAATATTTAATTTTGGAAGGGAATTCCTGGGAATACTGTTCCAAACATGGATTTTCTTTATGTATGGATTTTAGAGTTAGAAAATATCTCCATCTTCTGAAAAATGTTAAAACCATAAGTAAAAGGATGGGGTTTTTTTACATGGCATGTGGGGTGGGGAGGGTTCTGAGACCTAATCTGAGGCCCATTTGTTATGTCAGCTTCCTGTGGATGAATATTCAAGAAGAGAACAAGAGAATTCACAAAGAGGGTAACTTCCAATTCAGCAACGATGAGCAACAGGGGTCTCAGGTCACAGATGAAGAAGTGAGTGTTTTCACAGTTGGGTTGAGCCCAGTAACAGGACATCTCAACTGGTGCTTGTAAGGTTAGACATGTGGGCAGGCAGTGGCATCTAGGATGTCTGTCAGTGAGGTCCTTAGCCTAGTCTAGTGTTTAGGGGCAGAGCTTTTGGCCCTAAGACTGGAAAGACCTAGGTTTTAGTTCTTCCAAGACTAGAACTAATATGCCAGCTTATTGGTGTGGGCGCCTAAAATGGAGAACAAAACAAAATTTTCATGCTACCAACTCAGGCACATGGGGAAACGGGGTCTTTAGAGCTGGAGGGCAAGGACCCCGTCATTGTAGCATAGGAATACACAGAGGGTTGCACTGCACCAGAATGTCTCTGGAGCTGGGTGGTAAACACTAGGATTTCCTGTCTTGGATCATCTAACTGGGAGAATGATTCTAGTGGAGAGAACAAAATGTGAGGACAGGCAAAGTCAGGTAAAAGGCTGGGGCAGAGAGTGCTGAGAAAAGTCAAAAGTATCTCTGTGATTTTAGGTCTTTTTTTCCCCCCACAACAGACAATGGTCCTATATTCTCAAACCTAAAGACAAGAGCTAAGTAATTCTATTGGTTGTTTAAATCTGGCAAAAGAATCATTAACTAATCTGAACTCTAAGAAATGCAGCCTACTAATAATCTTTGACAAAGATTGTAAACAGAGAAGGGAGTTGCTATAAACATAGCTAGCTCATTCTTTTTGTGCATATTTTTAGTTAAGTAAACCAATGCTCTTCGGTCACGTCCTTACATTTTATTTTAGAATCCTCTCAGGTGCTGGAGTTAGTGCTCAGCGAGAGGCACTCCAGCTAGAGGTTATTAAGAGGATTGGGCTTTTATCAAGACCTGGGAAGACAGTGGAAAGAAGGCTAAGGGAGATCCGGAAAGTATGAAGAGGGCTTTACATTTTATTTTCCAGATAACAGTCCTTTGATGTAAATCCTTTTATTTTTATTTGTCAACACTGTGAGTTTGCTTTAGTTCAGTGGTACAAATAATTCAAAGATTGCTCTTGGCAATCTGAAACATGAATCTGAAGGATGCCTATACACAGTGCCTGGCAAAAGTAGGTTTACAGCTGTTTGCAAGAGAGTTTATTCTTGTATTATTAATGAATGTACTATTTATTATTATTAACCTACTTTTGCCTACCTCTATATTTTGGACATACAGGAACCATTTTTTAAATATTCAGTATTTTATATTAGTTTTAGATGTGTAACATAGTGGTTAGACAATTATTAATGTACAAAATGACCGATCCCCACAATAATTCAAGTACCCACAATATTATTGGCTCTATTCCCTATGCTGTACTTTAATTCCTGTGACTGTTTTGTTACTACCAATTTGTACTTCTTAATGCCTTCACTTTTTTCACCCAGCCCCCAAATTCCCATCTACACTGGCAATCATCAGTTTATTATCTGCATCTGTAAGTCTGTTTCTGTTTTTTGTTCACTTATTTTGTTCTTTAGATTTTATACATAGTGAGATTATGCGGTATTTATCTTTCTCCATTTGACTTATTTTACTTAGTATAACTCTTTCTAGGTCCTCCATGTTACAAATGATAAGACTTCATTCTTTTTTATGGCTGAGTTGTATATGTATGTATCACAACTGTTTTATCCACTCATCTATTGACAGTCACTTAGTTTGATTTCATATCTTGCCTCTTGTAAATAATGCTGCAGTGAACATAGAGATTATATCAAACTAAAAAGTTTTGCACAGCAAAGGAAACCATTAATAAAACGAAAAGACAACCTACTGAATGGAAGGAGATATCTGCCAATAATATATCCTATAAGGAGTTACTATCCAAAACTTATAAAGAATTCAGACAACTCAAAACCAAAAAATCTATTTTAAAAATTGGGCAGAGGACGTGAATAAATACTTCCCCAAAGAGGACATACAGATGGCCAACAGACATATGAAAAGATGCACAATGTCACTAATCATCAGAGAAACCCAAATTAAAACCACAATGAGATATCATCTCACACTTGTCAGAGGGGCTATTATCAATAAATCAACAAACAGCAAGTGTTTGTGAGGATGTGGAGAAAAGGGAACTCTGTTGGTGGGAATGTAGATTGGTGCAGTCACTATGGAAAACAATATGGAATTTCCTCAAAAACTTAAATATGGAACAGCCTTATGACCCAGCAATTCCACTTCTGGGCATATATCCAAAGAAACCCAAAATACTAACTGGAAAGAATATATGCACCCCTGTGTTCAAAAACCATAGCTTTTCAAGACTGGAATGGACTGTAAAGGTCATCACATTAAATTGTTTCATTTTACAGCTGAGAAGAATGAGGCCTATTAAAGCTATGTGACTTGCTTCACGACAAGACATAAATGGCTGACTGGGCCAGGACTAGAACCTACGGAATTACAAACCATGTCTATCTTACCTCAGATGACAATCCAGAGTTTGGAAAAAAACAAAACAAACAAAACAAAACAAGAAACCCACAAAACACACACACAACTTTAATCTTGATTTATTCTAATTTCCAAATCAATTTGTTATTTCCTATGGGAATTTAGTGAGCAAATTCAGTAATGCTAGTGCAATTTTTCTCATGCCCTTTTGTATAGGCTCAAATATATCCATTAAGTTTCCTACTTAATAGTAATGATGAGTTCTGTGCACATCATTTAAAAAATATTTGCTGAGTTCTGTTAAAATAAGATTATTATTATTATTATTTTAAATAATCATGGTGAAAAAAAGACCACCTTAGATTTTTATCTTTTAGGACAAACATTTGATAGTCAATTTGAAAACTCAAAAAAAAAATTTTTTTTTTCCTTTATCCAAGAGACAGGAAAGAAACAGGAATTGTGGTCTTTATCCATCTTGGTCAAATTCTTATGCTAATTTCTCAGTGATTTCTGCTATGTATGTGAACTATGACCATACACGAAAATGGTCTGTTTTTTAGGTCATGGCTGCGGGCAAAGATTAATTGGTGAAAAAATGGGCCTGTTCGTGGGATTTACCACACAGTAACGTTTCTCATCTCACTGGAAAAATGTGGGATTAGCTCTTTGAGAAATGTAGCCCTGTCAGGAGGTTGAAGGGAGTTTCGGTGGAGGGAAACAGTTCGCTAAGACAGTTATGATTGGTTAGATTCCAGAGCAGTCCCTCTAGTTCAGCAAAGCTCTGCCCTCTTTCAAATAAATATTTCCTACATGTGACTTAATGTCACTAGTAATTCACAGATCGCTTCTTATTCGGCTTCTTCCTTGGCACCGATCCAAACTGGGCAATGGTCTTGGGAAGGTCTCCTAATCCGTCCCTGCCCCCTCTCCAGAACACGCTGTTACAGTGAAAAGGCCTTCCATGTGGAAATAACTTTGCGACAGCATAACTTGTCTATGCTTACTGAAATGTGGGATACAGATGTGGACGAGCGGGTATGGGTGGCAAGGGTGCGAAGTGGAGGATGGGAGGCTAGTTCCCTGCCTGTGAAGACAAGCTTGACAATATCGACTTGGATGCTCCCAGAGAACTCTCCACGTGCTCCTCCCTAACAGCCGCTGCTCGGACCCCAGGCCTCTGCTGTGCGGCCCACATTGCCGCGGAGGACAGACCCAGCCACAGGGCTTGGGGTTCCATCGCCCTGCCCCCCACCACAGCGGTGGCTGCTGGTCCTTTCCCAGGTCGCAGCCCTGCTGGGGCAGCTCCAGGGCCCCTCCTGAACCGGGAGGAGGTTAGGAGCCGCCCGAAGCCACTCCCTTCAACTCGATTTCCACAAACTCCGTCCTTCCCCGACACCCCGGTGCAGACGAGCGGGAGCTGCTAAGCTCGATGTCTATGACTTTACCCCCAACCAAAGGGAACCTGCGTGCCCGTGGTCCCAGGATGGTGGGCTCGCCCCCTTCCACCCGAGGAGCACCCCACTCATGCCCCCCAGCCCTGCCCTGCCCCTCCCCCGTCCCAGGACCTAAGTCCGCGGGGCCCCCCGGCCCGCGGCGGGCGCCGGGCTGGCAGGCGGCGGCGGCGGGACAGGGAGCAGCGGGCGCGCGCGGGAGGGCGGCGGGCGGGGCGCGCGCCGGGCCGGGGCCGCCGCGGGGGAGGAGCGCCCGCCCCGCCCGCCGCTCGCTCGCGCGCCCAACGGACCAGGCTGAGGCCGTGAGTTAACTGTTGCAGCCGCGGGAGTTGGGAGGAGACTTCGCGTCTCCATTGCCTGCGGGAAAGGAGTAGCCCTTCCGCCCCTCTCCACGGCCAGCATGTCCCGGACCCCGCCGCCCCTCCGCCCGCGAGGCGTGGACCCCGGGCCGCGGCGGCGGCGGGCGCAGCCCTGACGCGCTCCTGAGCGCAGGGGGCGGGAGGGCAGCCCCGGGCGCGGGGACTAAAGGAGCGAGAGAGCGCCTGCGGCCCCTGTGAGTCCCAGCCGAGCGTGCGGAGCCCGCAGCCACTCCGGGTCCGACCATGAGGAGGGACGAGCGAGACGCCAAAGCCATGCGCTACCCGCCGCCTTCGCCTTCGCCGCCGGACGGGGCCGGCTCGCCCCCCGAGAGCCTGCGGAACGGCTACGTGAAGAGCAGCGTGAGCCCCCTGCGGCAGGACCCCCCGCGCGGCTTCTGGTTCCACCTCTGCCGCTTCTGCAACGTGGAGCTGCTGCTGCCGCCGCCGCCGCCGGCCTCCCCCGAGGAGCCGCGGCGCGGCGGCTCCCCCTTCTGCCGGGCGCGCCTCGCGCTGGGCGCCCTGGCCGCCTTTGTCCTCGCGCTGCTGCTCCGTGCGGCGCCCGAGAGCTGGGCTGCCGGCGGCGCCGCCCGCCTGCGGAGCCTGCTGAGCGTCGGGGCGCTCAGCCTCAGCCCCCTCTTCAGCATCGCCTGTGCCTTCTTCTTCCTCACCTGCTTCCTGGCCCGCGCCCGGCGGGGCCCCGGCCCGGAGCGGGGCGCAGGCGGCGGCTCCTGCTGGCTGCTGGCGCTGCCCGCCTGCTGTTACCTGGGGGACCTGGTGTGGCCGTGGGGGTCCTGGCTGTGGGACGGAGACGCCGCGACCCCGTCCACGCCCCCCGCGGCGGCGGCGGCGGGCAGGTTGCTCTTGGTGCTGAGCTGCGTGGGCTCGCTGGCCCTCGCGCAGCGGCTCGGGCTCCGGCACAGCATCCTGGTGCTGCTGCTCTCCAGCTTCGTCTGGTGGGTCTCCTTCTCCAGCCTCGGGCCGCTGCCCGCAGCCCTCCGGCCGCTGCTGTCCTGCCTGGCCGGCGGCGCGGGCTGCCTGCTGGCCCTGGGGTGGGAGCACTTCTTTCACCTCAGGGAAGCTCTCCACCCGCCCCGCTTATCCGGGGCCGCGGAGGAGAAAGTGCCTGTGATCAGACCCCGCCGGCGGTCCAGCTGCGTGTCGTTCGGGGAGACGGCGGCCGCGTACCCGGGCAGCGGCAAGATGTTCCGGAGACCCTCGCTGCCTTGCATCTCCAGGGAGCAGGTAGGTTCGCAGAGAGCAAGGTTTTGCGAAGGGAAGTGAGTGCGGTTCTGTCGCTTCAGTTCCCGAGTTGAATTTTTTGAAAGCATGTTAACTTCTAGGGTGGGGGAAAGAAAAAGTTTTAGTCTGCAAAGGAGTCCTAAAATACAGGAGGTTTTTTTTAGACATACAGACGTGCCTTTTGGTGAAGTAGACTATATTGCACCTTTAAAGTACTTTGTTTATGCAATAGATGAGTTATTAGAAGGATGGATTATTTGAGGTGTGATAGATGGGCTACTCCCACTTTGGCATGCTCCGATGGACGTCATTTTGGTGCCGTTAATCTGTTGCTGTTATGAGTGTGATGTCTCCCCAAAGGTAGCATTCATAGACATTACTTTTAAGCAGTGTGATTTTATTACTTTGGATATGAGAGAGAGAGAGAGAGAGAGAGAGAGAGAGAGAGAGAGAGAGAGAGAGAGAGAGAGGGAATTTGAGATCTTAGAAACCTTGATGAACTTTGGAACTGAGACTTGTTAGTAGATGAAAGACTGTTGGGAATCATTTTGAAGAGATCCCCACTAACCCAAATTCCAGCGGTATAGGCTAATATAATGTTTTACAGACTAACTCATGGTGGTGTGTATTTGTTGCATAATGAAGAGAATGTTGTAACAATTTAACCTTTAAACTTATGTCTGGAAAGATGCCAAAAGCATGTCCAGTAGGTTTACATGTTTTTGTCTTTTAAAAGGAATTGAAACCATCATCATGGAACCAGCTTCCATATAGCCTTGGGAAATCTTACCTGTCCTACATCACCAGGAAATTCAACAAGTATAGCTCCTCCCTGATAGCAAATGCTTTACATATATTTTCTCAAATATTTGTAAGTGCAAAATGCTTTACATATATTTTTTTATATATGTACACGAGTCCTGTATGGTGGTGACATTACCTCAATGTGGAGATGAGCCTTATGAGTTTTTGAGAGATTACCTAACTTCACACATCTAGCAAGTGGCAGTGCTGGGATTTGAACCTAGATTTCTCAGTTTTAATTGTCATGTTCTAAGCAACGAAAAGGGTGAGTGTAGAGCTCTTATGTAGGAAAGTAGGAATTTATAGCATTGGTTTTCAGACTTTCTGATTGGTAATATGTTTTACATTGGGACCCAGTATAACTGTTTGATGACGTGTTCAACACTAATTCTGTAGTGCTCCAATGACACCATACTTTGCTTCTTGAAACTTTTTTTTTTAGGCTGCTTTTGTGGTCTGTAATTATTTGGCCAAATACTAGTACTTGAAAAAAAAATTGTTAAAAAATGTCATGCCTTTTATTTTCTTATTTTACTGCCAGTGATATAGAGCTTAGAAAAATCTGTATTAGAAGAAAAGTTGTGATATTAACTGTAGAGCAAAATAATATCAGCTGTTTTCTTGGAACGGCATGCCATTTAACAGTTGACTATATGTGAATAGACACCGGAAAAATGTTTTAGCATAGTCTAATCACATTTGTAGATAAGTTTCCCAAATTTAACAGCATTACAGTTTAACGAACTTTACTGTAATCTGACCAGTGGTCTGCAAATTCACTAGTCAACAGAGCCAAATATCAACATACAATGATTGAAATTTCTTTTGAGAGCCAGATTTTTAAAATTTAAACTATATAGGTAGGTACATTGTTATTAACTTAATTAGGGTATTCCTAAACTGGCCTTTGCTAAAAACTCAAGGGGCCAAAGAGCCACATGTGGCTCACAAGCCACAGTTTGCGGACCACTGGTGTAATCAATTGTGGATGTGCTGTAAATGGAAAATTCTTCGTTTTCTTAATCCTAGTCTGGTGCTTTTTCCATCACAGTAACCTTTTTCAACCTGTAATCGAGAGCAGTGTTATTATTCTAGGTAGCTTCATTTATTATTTGTATTAGAAGCAGACACAATTTGTGCTTTTAAAAAGGTCATACATTATACTTATTTGCATAGCCCATGGACACGGACATGGGGATGTTGGGAGGAGGGGGGAAATGGGAGATATTAACAAGAAAAATACATTTTAAAAGTTTATTAATCTATTTTTTAAAAAGGTCATACCTTAACGCAGAAAACCCTTATTCACATTCCACTATGAAAAGGAACAGTTTTGGGGTCTTAAATATATGCTAAGAGTACCTATATTGTTACTTAATGTTCAGTGTCATAAAATAATACAATTTTGGCATTACTAAATGTTACTACATATTTTTAATTTAACAGAGATCGTAATAAGAATTTTTATTTATGCTTATTCATGAAGTTTAACAGTGAGTCTCTGGTTTTGTTTGGATGTATATTATGTTAAAGAAATGAAAAGGAAACCAGTACTTTTATGGAAGTAAAAGACGGATACTTTCTATTTTCCAAGTGCTACGTTTTGTATGTGACAAGTGTGAAGTCTCTTCATTGTTTCAGAAAGTGAAGGAGAAACAGAAAGATATTGAGTAAAATTTGATATGGTGAGAAATGCTCTGGATTCCTAGGCAGGGGATTGAGAGTAAGGTCTTGATTCTACTGTGTAATCTTGGGAAAGTCAGTGAGCCTCTGAACCTCAGTATCCTGTCAAACCAGGGATTTCAAAAGATGAATTCCGTAATAATTTCCAGTTCGTGATTCACTTCTTCTAGTTGGTTTATATTTTTTGTAAAGTATGAATAAAAGTATAGCTAAAAGATCACAGTTAGTATTATACTTCTTGAAGTTTTACTTACGTGTTGAATGTTGATACGACTAACTTGTATTTTCCAAGGTGTAATGATGAGCAAATATTCTGTATTTTTTAAATAGAAATCTTAAAAAATTATATGCAATTTATTTTTGGATTGAGATAGCAAAATTATTATACTTTTATTTCCTGAAGAATTTTATAAACATCTTTGAAAAACAAAACTCATGTCAATCTAAATATTTTTAAATTGAGAGTAGACTTAGAATAATTTTTAATTTTGGGGATGTTATGTTAGGTACCATGTTGAAAAATAATGGCTTATGTTTGCAAAACATTTGATTTTCATAATTAGATTTACAGTAGTTGATATAAATGCTATATGTATGTCACTTATTAATCAAGGTATTTTTGTTGTTATTGCCAAACATTTAGAGATTTAAAGTTTAAATCTAGTTACTGTTAACTGTGTTTTGCCTTGGTGGATTAATAGAAAGACATACTTAAGTTGTCGTATATTTGCCAAGAGTCAGCTGAAGTGAATAGGAAGTTTTTAAAAAAAAATTAGTTGTCTATGTAGACACTTTGGCCCAAATTTAACAAATTACATTTCTAAGCCATTTTATTTGTATGTATATTCTACAATGAAAGTTTCAGCCAGATCATTTTGTTTGTGATAGACTAGGTAAATACAAGGTTTTGAAAGTCATAAGTTCATGTGTGAGATATTTTTCTATACCTAAAATGCTAAGTGCTTTCTAAATGGTTAGGTAAATATTTTAAAATTCTGTGGCCTTAAAACCCATAAATATTATGTAAAGTGTTAATTTTATTTGAAAAAGGTACACACATGTAGTATGAATGTGTTTAAAAACGATTTTAAAGTTTAGTGATTATTTAGTAACTTAAGGAATTTGCAAGGCATATCTCACTATGAATTTAAGAATACCGTAGTATTTGTGACATTTATTTTGTGGTTCCAGTGAGTCGTATTTCATTCTCCTTTCATGTTAATATTTTGTGGTACAATATCAGTCTGTATCATAATTTTATGCTCTATTTTGTAAATATTGTATGCACTCTGCCATCGGAACTATTGTTCAGAAACACAGATTTGATCAAATCCCTTGCTCTGTTTTAAAAACCTCTTACGGTTTTTCATTGTCCACAGGATAAAGTGGACAATGACCTTGAACCTTGCTTGTAAATTCCTTAATAACATGCTCTTAGCTTTTTTGTTTGTTTTGTATTTTAAAAAGTCATCTAGGACTTAGGGATACTCCCTCCCCCCATCCATCCTTGGCTGTAACTATTTGTGGACTGCTTATTGTTTTTGACCTGTAGATATTTTCTTTTCTTTTGCTATTACTGTTCACACTGTTTGAAATCTCCTTTAAGGAACAAATTAGATTAAGAAGTCTTTAGACAGTACAGTGATATTCAAATTACTCTTTAAACCGAGAACAAACCTTCAGTATGGCAGAGTTGGCCATTTAAAAAAATAAAAGTTGACAGATGATGTGATGTGTGATAGATTTTCATTACGTCTCATGAAATAATAACTTCTCCATAATTTATGTTTTCCCATACTGAGTGGAAAGTAAATAGGGCCAACTATAAGTCGAACTGTAAAGCTTATTTTCATTGTCCTCAGACTTTTTATCCACCTCAGTGGCGGGACTTTCTCTGATTCTCTTTTTCTTTACCCTTGCAATTACCAAGTCAGCCTGTTTCTCCAGTATATTCTCCTGCCTTCCTATCCCCTACCAGTGTTTCCCAAAGTGTGGTAGCCGTACCCCCAGGGGTACGCGTTGCACTGGAGTTTGGTGGGGATAGGCACTGCACCGTGCTTAGCTGTGCCTAATTCTACATAGTACTCATGAGTACGAGGGGTACTCAGCATTATGAAAATTATAGAAGGGGTACACATATGTCAAAAGTTTGGGAAACACTGCTTGAACCCAAACAGGAAGAATCTATACTTGCTGAAAACATTTATTTCAACCTAAATGTGTTTATATAGATATAGAAGAGATAGATTCAGAGTTTACCTAATTGAAATCTGCTCATTTTATAGACAGGAAAGAAATTAAACTCCAGAGAGGTAAAAATATTGTTTCTAAGTTATGGTGTGAGATATTTGGGGCACAGGGACTAAAACCAAGCTAGGTCCTGCCATGAAGAGCATAAATAGCTGCAGTCATGGTTTTCCAAGGCTGTAACTAATTTTTGCCAATTATCTGATAAATGACTCCCTGGTTAAAGGAGTTAGTGGGTAAAGATGGGAAAGAGAGAGAAGTAGCAGAGA